TCCCCCTTCCCCACATTTCCACCCTCGCCCTCTGAACAAGAGTCCTTGATGTTCCTCGGCTCCTTTGTCTACCTTGAATTTCACCCTCGACCTCGTTACCGACCACAGTTTTTCAAGGAATTCGCTGTCGAGACTGATAGGCTCGTACCACCCCCTTCCCCCCCTCCCTCGTCTTCCCGTATTTTAATATGACGGAAGTTGGGCGATTTAGGCAGCCGCCGCTGCTGCGCCGTCCGAATTACAGGAAGTGACGCGGAGGAAGTAAGGACCGTAAAAATTCCTCGAGCACCAGCGCCATTACGGAGGCGCGGACGCCGGGCGTCGGTCGATGCGCCTAGACGCACCCTTCGCCCCGATACTAACCACCCTTAACCCCGCGCCCGGTGTCTCTTCCGGAAGTCTTCTCGGTCATTGGATATCGAGCCAGGAGGGTGACGCTCGTCACGAGTGTCTTGTCTTTTTATTTCTTTCTTTCTTTCAAGGCCAATCAAGGTCAACGCTAACGCGATAACATTATTATTATTTCTCGATTCTTATCAGCCACCGTGTTGCGCCGTGATATCTGACCTTGGGTCTTTCGGTGTTTGATCCTTTTTTTTTTTTTTTAATACTTTGAAATATTTTCTACCGCTCCTTTTTCGCTCGGTATCTCCCTGCTGGTTGGATGCTGCGCGTTATTGGCAGCCAAATGATTTTTGATAAGGCCACTGCCTCTGGTTGGCGGCTTCGAAAACCGCCGGATGGAGCTGGGAAGCTCAGGCAGAGGGATAAGGTCGGGGCTGGCGAAGGGTGGGATAAGGTAAAACAAAGTGGATAGGAAGGTTCCTCAAGGATCCCTAACCGTCTTGGAAAAGGTAGGAGTTCATAATCTGCGGGTGGGCGAGGAATTTCAGAGGGTAAGTTTACGTAATGCGCGTGCCAAGGACGTGGAGCACGTTAACTATTAAAGTGGTCCCTACTTCCTCATCATCAGCCAGAAGGATACCAATTTGTTCTCCATCCTGTATCCAGTTCATCATTACCCATTTTGGTATCTACGTCAATACCCAAGCTCAACCTTTATTTTTGTATATCTTGTTACCAGGTACAAGCACCCTGGTCCCTCCTTGTTCGTCAACCACCTCCTCTGCCACCCCCAATCCTTTGTCTGTCTTAGACTTCCATCTCACTCACCTGCCTTGACTGAGGATTAAATCAGGGCCTGTGGATCCCAATTCCCTCTACGTCAGGCAAACTCGACTAATCCTGGTCTCGGGTTGGGTTAAGTTTAGGTCTAGGTTCGATTCGATCGATACCCTTAACGAGAATCTCCTATACCGTTCAGCGGTTTCCTGTACAGATAGGAATTCCATGAGAGTCCCCTTCTTGCTGATCCTTAAGTGTTCGTCAGGTTGGGTACCCTGAAGAAAAATATTTTTTTCATAGAAACTCTCGAATGACGTATTATATGGGTTTGCATAGGCGTTTGGTCACTTTCTGATCGGATCTTTTGTTCTAGGGACTTTTTTTTTCCACCCAGATACCAACTCTGGGGTTACGCGTATAAAAGTCCCTAGGATGAAATTGCTTAATGAAGTCGACGGCTCGCTTGGCGTAAGGTGCCTGAAAGGAAGGTAGAAACGTTGCAGTGGGTCAAGGAGAGACTATAGCACGGGGCTTTCACTTCCTCTCTGGCACATGGTTATGTTTCAACTTGGTCGGCCGAGAACTCCATCTTTATGTATTTTTTTTTATTTTATTTTTTTTATTTTTTTTTTTTTTTTCATTGCGGTGTCCCACCTATTGATTTTACCTTCTACGATCTCATTAGTCACTTGGGTTTTCTAACTGTGCAATTTCCTTTTACTGCGAGCGGAAGTGGATCCTTCTTTGATACCTGATGACGTTTATGATGATGGAACTTTTTTTTCAATTTCAGTGGATACCAGGGAGGTACAGCCACATGACACGGGTGAGAAGGAGGATCTGGGATTGGCCACGATCAAGGCCGAACCAGGATCCACCACAGGAACTCGTCTTCTTCACGGGATCCTCTCGCAGCATCCTCAGCAAAGTGCGTTGGGGGTTCAAAGTAGTTACGGTCGACATTTAGCTAGCCACCCCCAGCTTGGTCAGCCACCCTACACTACCACTGCCATGGCTACCACCAGTACCCCAGGTACGGTTCCACTTCGACTTCCTTTGTTGGCTGATACTTGTATCCCGGGTTATTCATAATGAAAATGTTTAGACTGGTCCAGGGGGGGACCTGGTTCACCGGGACTGGATCTCAAAACCGTGGGAAGCTACGTGATTCCTCGTACCCAGTGCACTCACCTTCCGATGCCCCTTTCACGAAGATTCGTTTAATTGACGATACACGAAATTATTTACTTTGGTTAATCACGAGTCCGATTCTTATCTTTGTTCACCTTCACTTTTGTGCGGTAACTTCGGCCTTTTCGGCAATCCAATAGGTATCTGCTTTTTTTGCTCTGTCACTGAAATTCACTGTTTTACCACCGAGCTAGGTGTCCGTTGGGTTACTGGAAATATTTGTAAATTTTTTTTTTTTTTTCAGAAATTATACACATGTTTCTTATCACCGTACTCAGGACATTTTTAATTTCTGTTTTCAGGCGGTGGTTCGCTGCCTGCCAGTCCTGCCGATAGTGGCGTTAGCGACGTAGAGTCCAGTACTTCCTCCGGGGCTAACGAGGATGCGAATCTGCTCCTGAAGGCGAGGCTCAACCCCAATTCATCCCTTCAGCCCAGTCTTGCGTCCCATCATTCTCATCTGACGACGAGTAAGTGCCGACTATTATTATTATTTATGATTAAAAAACGATAGGAATAAGATTTTGAAAAAAGAGCGAAACAAGCCATGATAATTTCTGCGTTTGAATGACCTTTTTGGTAACATGAGAAAAAAATTGAAATTGATTTTTTTTTTTCTAAATCAGCACTCGGCAGGTCAGCCTGTCACAGTCCTGGCGTCTACCCTTCAACGGCAGGATTTTTGCCACCCTCCTATCACGCTCATCAGCATCATCCCTCTCAGTATCATCCGCACAGAGGTAGCTCTCCGCATCATCAGCACAGCAGCCACGGTATGGGTCCAGCAATGGGTCCGCCCCATCACCACCATCATCAAGCGCAGAGTCTCCAGCATCTGCACTACCGTCAACCGCCAACACGTGAGTTTCGAAATTTCTATAAATTATTATTTTTTTTTTTCTTTTCAAATTCCCTAGAAAACGTTCTTCGCTGTTTCCCCGTAACGAGATACGCTAACGAGCGAAATGAGGAACGCGTTGATCAAAAATTCATGGCGCTCTGTGCGTACAGTGAAAGTGCCAGGAGAGAGAAAATGACTGGAAAAACACGACGGGGAAGATCGTTAGGGCGATTTTCAAGTAGTACTGCCAACGTTTAAATGAATAATTATTGTTAATCAAAGACCGGACGAATCAGGGAAAAAGTGATATTTAGCGAAAATGATATATATATATATATATATATATATATATAATGTCACTTGACAGGCATTCGTCGACGAACGCGAACGTTCGCTCGTGACCCAGTTTGTAGCCGCTTCGCCACAGCGTCCTAGATTTACTTCCTGCACCCGTCGCGGCGCACTCGGTCGCCCGGTCGCCCAGTCGCTCGGTCGTGCATGCGAGACCGTTGATCGGAGGCCGCCATTCATTCCGTTAGCGTCGCGCGATTTCGAACGGGACCTCATGTCAGGCTGTTTCTGGATGCTGGGGGTCCTGTTTCTGCGTGCAACTTCGGAGGGGGATTCACAAGGGAAGAAGAAGAAAAAAGCAACAACAACAACAAAGGATACCGCGATCCTCGCGCATTCTAGTTTCAATATGGCGTCTCTCTCTCTCTCTCTCTCTCTCTCTCTCTCTCTCATACTATATAGGCATTCGAACGCCATTATTACTCTGTACGGTAAGAGAACCGGCACTCTTGATGTATCGCTTGTACAATAGCGGGATAGCACACAGAGTCAGCAGCGACCCGAGTAAAAGTGTGCCGGATTGTATAATCGAACGTGAATAAGCAAAACGTTACGCCACCGGGATTTTGTAACGGAGAGGCCCTCGTTGAGTTCTCTCTCTCTCTCTCTCTCTCTCTCTCTCTCTCTCTCTCTCTCTTTCATTCTTTATCCTTCTCTTTTTATCTCCTCCCTGTACCCAATCGTCTACCAATGCCTCAACACTTGTAATTTCCCTCGTGCTCTTTTTGACTCTGGAAACTTCCATCTTGAAATCGTCATGAGATCTTAGATATCCGAGGAATAATTGTTTTTTTTTTTAAATCCCCTCGCAACACGCTTACACAGCCGAAGTCAAGGTACACGCCTGCCCCGGATATTTGCGAAATTGGTCGATGTCCCTGAAAACTATTTTTTTGACATTCAAAATATCGAGTAAGTTCATCCGCGACGAATTTTTCTTTTAACCACGCAGAGTTACGTCGAAGCGACTCTAGCGTAAAACGTTCATACTTTGTAATCGTCAGTACGGCCCTTGCCTGATTCCCAGCGACCCATTGGGAAATGCCATAGTCGTCGGCTATTAGTAATATATACTGCTGACGGAAGTGTCGATATCTCTTTTCGTTTGGTATAATATTTTATTGCAATTTTTTTTTGTTCCCTTTCAAATCACTCCTATCGATTCTACGTCGATCTTATCGATCGCTATTTCCTGGAAGCGACGTACGGTTTATCGAGAAACAATGCTCGAGGTATATCGATCGCTGCTACCTTCACGTTCAAATAGCCAAACGACGCCAATCGAATGCGGGGGGGGGGG